CGTATGAAAAAGCAGTTGAGGGTATTCATGATTTATCAAAGGTCCTCTTTATCTTATCCAAGTCTCATTCAAAATGCCTTGTCAAAATAATATTTCAATTCAAGTCTTAGTCAAGGACTATTATCAATACATATTGTTTTCGCTTAATTGACAAATGAAGTGTCTGACATGATACAAGGAGATTCAATATTTTTATATATAATTTCGCAACAAAATTGGATTTTTCAGTTAATGAAAAATTAAATTTGAGATTTTCAGACAGTTGATGAAATCTATCGTCGTGCAAGTAAATTAATGAAAGCCTAAAAAAATTTGATTCAGTGCTCATTAGATCAATCAAAATTGTAATTTAATCGAAGATTTGACGTGATTCTGATTGTTCAGTCAATGTATTTGAACTTTGAGTCATAAAATTATTCAATTCAATTGTATTCGTTTGCAATACACTTCAACTTATTTGATGTGTGTGTTTGAAACATCTCACTTGTTTCCATTTCATGAAAGCATAAATTTTGAGCAATAAAATTGTCACCCTGCATAGAATATTCGACAACGTTTGCGAAATCTCTGCGATATTGTTTATTTTGGCAATAGTCAATGAATGAANCATAGAATATTCGACAACGTTTGCGAAATCTCTGCGATATTGTTTATTTTGGCAATAGTCAATGAATGAAAAGACCGTCTCCAAGGGAGGAAGAGAGCACCTTTAAAGATCTTACGATTCGAAGTGTAAGATGCTTAACAAGTCAATCTTTCAATCGGATAGAAGTGTTAGATGGTGGTGATATCATTTACTAAATTCAATATGGTACCTGTTGTGAGATATAATGACATTGGTACACCATTCAGTTCGGAGCAGAACTTTCGCCCGACCTTGGGTGAAAATTTTGCTCCAAACCGGATGTTTCAACAGCGTCGTTAATGTTATCTATTCTGAGCCAGGCTGTGAATTGGCTTGAGTCAAGTTATCTGATTATCTATTGTGCGATACTCATTGCGATTTTCATCCGTGCTCATTTCGTTTCACTTCGGATCAGTCAGTGACTATCAATAGTTGGTGATTGAAGAGTACGTTCATTCAGGATAAATTATTGTGCAATGTTAGTTGAGTAACGGCTGCCGCTCGAACCTCAAGTTAAAACTTTTATCGTAGTTGTGAAGTTATGGCAACTCCGAATTTTTGGCATATTCAACGAAGACGAAAACGTACAAGTGGCGATTTGCTTGATGAAAATTCTCACGATGGAAAACCAAAGCACGGTAAATTCTACGAATGAATTCTTTATGAAAAACATTCATAGGAATTCTCTCTGTTTTACAGAAAAATGATGATTGGAATCGAAAAATACAATCTGTGGGTATAAACTTTCATATGAACTTCATTGAGAGATGTTCAGAGCGATTCTACTTCAGATTACGTGAAAATGAAGCAAACTAAAAAATTCTGCTTTGGAACTGTCGAAAAATCGCTTTGAAAAGTTGAATCCGAATTCTCCTATGAAAAGAGATTCTTCAAAAGTTATGAGAATTTGGAGAAATTAGATTGAGAGTTGGTTTGCTTTGAGGTTTTGTTACACCGATGCGTTATCAGCAAAAAATCAAGCCTATACCAATGGAATTTTCTGAGTTATGGATTGGCGGTTATCTGGTGAAGTTACCGCTGAATATGGTACCGTACACAACTCAACGCACGATGATGGCTAAAATCCTGAAAAGTCTCAAGAACAGACTGAATGCATTGATCGAAAGCCCTACTGGAAGCGGTAAACTCCTTCCATTTTGTAGCTCTTTTTTATCGACTGATTGGTAAATTCAGTTGCTTTATATTTTTGATGAGATCAATCCAGAATGTTTCCGTCAACTTAAAGTTACACCTGAACATAACTTCAGTGGTAAAGTGATTGGCTTGAAATAAATGAGGGTTTGACCTCAAAATTTCAAATTTCAGGTAAAACCCTAGGTCTTCTATCAGCCACGTGTGCATGGCTGGTGAAGTATAAGGAGGAACGTGAACAATCGAGAAAAGAATGTCCCATATGTAATTCAAGTAAACACATCACTGAATCCACCGCACCATCCACTAATCAAGAGAACAGTAACGATGCGTGGTCGGTGAACGGTTCTGAGAATCCTTCCTCATGCGAAAATACGAATACGGAGAATTCTCTTGACTCGGCAAATATCGTGAATAAAAAACCACTCCTAACATGTAAATATTAATTTTGTTCTTAGAATCGTTATCGCTTTATCTTGATTACCATTTTAGATTCACTCTTTGTTTGTTCTTGTACAAATTATTTGTGATTATTATTCTTTTGCTATTGCTTTTCTTGTTAGTATTATTGTTATAGTGTTTGTTGCTATGATCGTGTTGTTTAAAAAAAAGCTGATTTATTTATTTTGTTACTGATTTATTCATTTTTAAGTGGAAGAAGAGTTTGACGCAGACTTCAGAGCATCGCCTAGTCCAGCTGTTACAAGAAGGGTATTTCATCATGTTATACTTTCGTTATGTTTTTAATTTATTTTGGTTAGGAAGATATTATTTTTGGACTTCGAAAACAAATGAAATTGTTTCGAATGAATGAATACACTGTTTTTTAACAGAAAAGTCTCATCTCGGAGGATTCGAAACGTTTGAAATTAGAAAACGGTGAAGAAACGGAGAAGAAAGTTACCGAAAGTCATACTTGCTTACCGTGAGTTGTTTTGAATGTCGGATCAGTTGAATTGAGGATTTTCTACTGAATTGACCGCACTTCGATGAAAATGTGATTGGTACTTAAATCTTCGGTAATGAGCTCAACTATGAATATTTTGCTTAGATAATCGGTGAATTTGGTTTGATTATTGAAACGGCACGAATAAAGGTATTCAAAATTGAATGTTTAAACTCGAATCTGATTGAACAAGCGATTTCTTTGATGCGTGAAATGATTAGTTATAGAAGCATAGTTTGTTTGAAATTACAGGCGAGTGACCATCTACTATGGTACAAGAACACATAAACAGATCAGTCAAGTGGTGAGTGAATTCGCTCGCCTACCGTACGGTCATGATGATCGAATAAGGTATTGATAGCATTCATTAGTTTGTTCGTTGAATTTTTTATAAGTATTTTCACTTTATGGAGTGCCGAAATTCCGGACGAAACGGTTTGAGAGCGATGTTTTTCAGCGTTCTTTTCCCCTTAAAGGTCCTCAGGTGCTGTTCACATTCTAAAGACTTGAAAATTTGGATGAATCTTAGCCATGGTTCAGTGAGAGTTTTGATTCGATTCGATTCCATTTAAGACATACAATTCTGGCCAGTCGTGATCATTCCTGTATTAATCTAGCGGTACGGAACAGCGGCGATGTGAATGCGAGCTGTAAAGAGCTGATATCATCTCGCGGAGTTCGTTTCATTTTTTTTGTTTTAATTTCAGTTGTATTTTATTTTTTTCGGTTCAGTTTCAGAAATAAATTGCGTGATCCATTCCTCGAGAACTTTCCGCTTACCTTTGTACTTGTTATTTGATCATATATGAATAAAAGTTACAATGCGATTGATTATTTTGTGTGCGATTGATTCATAGTCTCTTTTTATATTCTCATACGAATGATACTGAATACAAACAAAACGGTTTTGCTGCTTACAATTAGCAGATATTTGGATGATTGCGGTGTTATGATTTGAAGCAATTCGTAATTCTGTCAGAGCCATTCGATATAGTTTTCTCGTAGTTGTGCATTGTTGATGGGTTCAGGTAGGATGCGCTTACAAGAATGCAATGCGTGGTAAATACGAGAAAGCCCAACCACTGCGTCGATTGGTATCGAAAGGCATGCAGGGATCTAGCAATGTCTGGGATATCGAAGATTTAGTTGAGGCGTTGAAAGTGTCAAATCCAACGCTTTGCCCATATTTCTCGTCGACACGTGTGCTGACACAGGATGCTGATATTGTATTTTGTCCATTCACGTATATGATTGGTTAGTGATAGTTGTTTTGTTTTGAAGTTTTATTTGATTATGAATTTGTTCACTCATAAGATATAAATTAATTGAATATCTTAATGATATCCTTTTATTGATCACTGAAACTATATTGCAGTATTCACTCGTGAAAATGATTTAATTATGATGAGGAATTCAGATCCAATAATTCGTGATAACTCCGAAGTGACACTGAAAAATGCGATTGTTATATTGGATGAGGCGCACAACGTTGAGGACGTATGTCGAGAGGCAGTCAGTTTTTCGTTCACCGAAAAAGAAATCGTTGCGGCATGCGCTGATTTTGGCAAAAAAGGTTGACGCTGTGCTCATTGTCAGCTTTTTTCAGGCATTTATAACACTTATTCATATTGAGTTTGAAGTTCAAAATCTTCTCGCAGAATTGCAACAAAATTTCGATCTTCTCATTGCAGCCGCCGATGTGGAAAAAGCGCTGAATAAATCGAAGCGAAAACAAACGGCACAAGAGGGATTGGACAACGTTGACGGATGGAAAACAGAGCAAACTTCTGATGCATTGAACAATTTAAGTACCAATTATGGGACGGTGAGACTCGTTGAGATAATGAAAATTTTAGGAATAATCGTTGAATACATTTGACGAGTTGATTTTTCTATGGCAAAATAATGTTCAAAAGAAGAAAATCTTGCGAATTTAACGTTTTTGAGGTGAATAAATTCATGAGCGATTTGTTGGACTGGTTTGTTGGAATGTCAGCCGAAGTTTTGAATAAAACGGTGGGTCGAGATGACCGACAAAGCGAAACCTTCTCATGGGAGCGTTTGTATACATCTTTCGAAGAGAGCAAATTGACAGTTTTCGGTGAAAAAGGAAAATCTTCAGCATATTCGAGTTTACTGGTTCGTCATTATTTTCTCTACGTTACTTTTGATTGACGATTTCCGAGCATTTTTTTGTAAGTGATAGTTTTAGTTGGATTTATATCGCTTTTGGTTTGCGTTGATTATTTTAGAAGATATTTCGTTGAATTTCAGACAGCTTTAAGTGTGGTGTCGGGT